TACAAAAATGCAATCCATTATCACCGCTAGTCAAACAATATAATAAGGACATGAAAATTCTGGATTATACTTTACTAAAATTCATATCAGTAACTCTTGGATGCTTTATTTTTCCGTTGGAAATTTCTTTCATGATTCTGGAAATATTGCAATTTCATGTGGTTATGCGTTCTCTTCCCTTTCTTCATGACACCCTTTCCAGCATTATTTTTCTCTGTAATAATTTCTAAAAATTTTTGTCTTATGATTTCAGTTTCAACTATCCTCAAATTATCTATCTCTTTTGAATTGGTACCTCGAATTCTCATAAAGGCGTTTTCCGTTCTGTTATTTTTTAGGACTGTTCTGTCACGAAGGTTTTTTAATTTTTTTCATTTACCCATTTTCTGATATTGGTACAACGATTAATATATCCCCACAGCTAGTTCGAGGCCAAATAACGACTTGATGAACCTGTCATTAACTTTTCATTTCCCATGATTCCAGAGTGTATGAGCACTCGGTATAAAGTCTTCAGTCATTTCAGTTTTGCATAATCATCGTACGGGTAGTTTTGATGTGAGCTTACAAGCAGAGAAGCATACCTTGCACGAATATTTATATCTTATCAATATTTCAAGTCACCAATGCCCTTGTAGGTAATTACCGTCTCAATATAGAGAGGGTACCCGGCAATGGCTTTATATCTATCAAAATCTTCCGACTAATAACATCGGTATTGTATGGTAGCGTAATAGAGGGTTCAGTTTTTGATTCAGCCCTGTTTATTTTTCACAAAAACCATTTCCTGGGGCGTCCCAGTTTTCGCAATCATCACCCTTAACGCTATTTATGCAATTGAGTTGACCTCATTCAGCTGTTATGAAGCTCAACATTACTGTATCAGTATAAAAAAAATTCAGAAAGCTATGCTTTGTTGAAATGAAATAGGATACGATGGACAAACCCCAGATCTGTGAATATAGGAATTTTCAAATGATTGGTATGTTACATTCTACAGTTCATAATGATAAAAAGGGGTTTATTCAAATTGTCTTTCGAATGGAAAAAAGTGAAGATATTACTGAGCCACTGAGAGAAATCTTAAACCGTTTGGACTGACATAAAGTTCGTTCTTTGACTGCGCAGTTCATTATTTCGATTTTTTTCAATTTGCATTTGTACGATTTTGAACACAGCGATTTTTGTGCCGATATCGATAAGTGAAATTTTTAGACCGTGATTTTGTTGGACCATGGTTTGTCATTAGAGAAACGATTCATTGAAAATGGAATATCTGCACCCAAACCTTCAGTTACTTCAGAAACACAGGTCGACAGATAATTAGATTTGAAAATATTCCCATTTAGCATATCTGTAGTGCTCAACTAAATCAGGTGAAATGGCCCACCAGTAGATAAGGTAAAGTGACCTGATGAGTCTCCTTAGTGTTTATTTTATCTGCAAACAAATAATGTTTTGTGTTATTTTAGGTATGCCAAATAAATACACACGGACGTCACAGCAGCAAGAATGCAGTTCAAAGGCAATGGATAAAGAAAGCTATACNGAATAATAGTTGTGTCATTGAGCCATTGACGAATTTATTAGGAGAAATCCGAAGCGTATATCCATACTGGACGACGACGCTTTATGAAGTAAATGAGTTTTTTCGAGAAACTGATTTCGTGAATTGCCAAAAAGGGTGGGGCAAATAGAAAAACTGATAATGAAATATTAACAGCATTTCACAAAGGTATATGATGTACTGTAAGAAATATGTCCAACGATTTAAAGTCCAAAGACAAACGACATGTGTCTAAAATAAACTTTAAAATGTTACGGAGAAGGTGTAAATGATACATCCTGTACATGACCGTTTGGGAATATTCCAAAGAACTTTTTCGAATAAATCATCTGATAAAGATTTGCTGGATAAGAGATATTAATTTGGCTTCAAGCAAAAATATTCAAGAGGATCCTAGTGATACACCCAGTGAACATCACTGTTTTGGATAATATGGAAAATATTGGTGTCTTAGGTTTCGATCAATTCAAAATTATTTTCCTTGATAAAAAATGTTGAATGTGTTTTTCCGGAATCATTGAATTTTGATCCTAGTTAACTATGTTTTTTTCGTTAGCGAATATACGTGTTTCGAAGCTCTATCTGAGAACAAAATAGTTTTTGAAAAGGGCTTCAAGCAAAAAATGAAAAAGGGAGGTCTGAGTTGAAGTCAGACACATTGTATTGTATGTTTTGCACTTATCTCATTCACTTCTTTTACACTACACTTCAAGAACTTCCTTATTTGACAAAAAAGCAAATATGGAAATTGATCGAACCTACACCTATTACCGACTATTGAAATCAATACGAGCATTCTCATATTACCTGAAGATAAAGGTGACTCCATAACAACAGAACTAAACATTGTATTATTGTACTGTGACTAAACTATGAAACAATCTTAACACGCGTAACGTACTTATCTATTAGGAAGGAGAGATAAAACATGTGGAAACTATAATTCACAGTGACCTTCAATACAAACGGAGAGATTCACACGTACATTGAAATGCAATATTTTAATTTTAAAGCGGTTGAATATAAACGTCAGTTGTCAGTAGCGTAACTATCAGGAAACCTGAAGTGTTTCAGCATTACAAGGCATGACTTCTTCGTTCTCGCTAGTATAAAAGATAAGATCTGAATATGGACTGGGTACTTGATATGGGCCACCCTAAAATTTTCTAAACTACAGCTATCATATATCTCTGCATAGTTCAAACTGAACACTTTGCTCAACTAGCAATTGAAGGCAACGTTTTGGCCACACTAAGTGTGACAAGTAATGGCTGATGATTTTGCAATTTTGTTCTGAGGTGTTCAAAGTGGATGTTACATAGGTACTTCTTCAATTCATTTCGCTCAATTCACTCAGTGTGTAGAAAGAACAAAAATGATCAACACGCATCATTTTGCACGCTGATGATGAATATGAAATATTGTTTTCCGTAAATGATGGCTTGTTTGAAATACGGAACGTGGTACATATTAGAACCCTTCGAATAAAACCATCTATAATAATGTTTGTAGGTAAAAATGCCAATAAATCAATACAAATACTTTTAAAACCATGCAAGGAAGCAGTGAAGAATTGAAACCATGTTTCTTGCCATGCATGCTGTTAGAGGTATGTCTTGTAGTTGCAAAGATCAGTGAAGAAAGATGAAGATTCCGAAGAAGTGGAGAAAACTTTTCTTAGTAGAAAAACTGTCTGGGGAGATAAGCATCACGTCTGCTGAATGCTGTTCCACCAAAGTTGATTTATCCTAGAAAGAATAGAAATGACGAACTCATATGTGGCGCTCTGCCAGGCTGGATGCAACAGAATTTAGGTTTTGGTTTCGACAATTCCTTAACTTCGTTAGACCAACTGCAGAAAACCTTTTCTGTCTAACATTAGATGTCAGCCTGTGTGGAGATATAGATATCAATAATTTAGAGAGAGAAAACCACGTGTCCATCTTTTCGCTATCAGCGCATTCTTTCCACAAAATGCAGCCTCTGGAAATGATTTTCATCGCTTATATTGTCTGTAATTTTTACTTGTCCGATGGAGTTAGAGGTAAATTGTGGGTCCGTTGTAGTATGTGCAAAATGTGGGCTCCGGAAGCATGAGCTGACACTGAGAAAGATGAATACATATGTGACTTTTGTAAGTAATATGTCAGATGTAAATTCAGAATTTGTGATTTTTTATTCATTTTCATGGATGAAGTGACTTTTTTCTATATGGTGGCTCATATTTCAAATACTTTTTTCAAATGCGCATGGAAAATACTTTTTTGGAATTTGCAAAAAAATTTCAAGAAGGTCGTGTTTTTCCGAAACTAGAAGTCTTAGAATTGGAAGATACACTTGCAATTATCACATCTCGATTGATACAAATTAGCAATGTCAAAGGAGGATTCATTCAAATACCGACGAACCAAATGAGAGTCCATATTTGCACCTTCTCCTCTGTGATAAAAAATCTCTCATATTGATTTTTCCTCTTTTTTTATTTCTGCTTCATAAATATGAGAGATTTTTCAACTGGCAAGTCAATACTTTTCTTAACGCGGTCCGTGCGTCTATCCTTCTGTAGCATTAATTGATATCCATTTTCTTGAGAACGAGTTGTGATATCGACTCCAAATCTCACACGTTCTCTAAAGAGATCTGAGGATCTTGAATACGTTATGGATTTTCATCAAGTATCAGCATCACATAGATTTAAAATATATATATTTTAATATTATTATGAGTCACAAAAAGGAACTCCTATTTAATTATATGCGAGCGCTTTCGACAGCTGGTCGTGCTGTCATCATCTAGGCTCTACTCAAACTGAACGTGTCAACCTGTTGTTTGGCCTTTTATGCGGTCCGAACGCCTCAGTGCAGGTACTTCAGGTACTTTAGGTGAATTTGCCTGTATTTGGGTTACAGCAGGTAATATTCTTTGTGTTGGATCTTCTCTAGATTTACTGTTTCTAGGAGTGTGTATTGTTTTATTTAATATTTTGAATATTAGGTCTTGTTGTGTTTTGATTTGTATTTGTTCCTCGATAAGTGATTTATGACTGTTAAATTTATGGATGTTTACGTTTTCCCAGATGTCCATACGGTTTTCCTTATTGACCTGTTTTATGAGTTTTATGTTCTCTGGTGGGGAGAAATTATGTTTGTTTTGTATGGCGTGTGTAAACCTCGCAACATACACCAAGAAATAATTTTAAGAATGCAAACATGCCGGTAGATCAAAGAAAGCAACATAGTCGTCTTAAGCAAGTGACACTGCAATTGATCCACAAAGTCCTAAGATATTTCTACCCGTTATGCCCCTTGAGGACCCCGCTAAGGAGCCATTCAAATAGTGGCCGTGCTGTTTATCATATTGCGTTAAATATAGTACTAATAGGCGTCGGACTGGGGGTATTAATGTACATTTTTCAATGATACCTTCTCTATCATGCGAAGATAATTGAAATATCGTGAAAACTAATTTTATTTAAATATTTCATGTTGAGGACAATTCATATTTGAAATAGTTTGAATAGTTTGTATAGGATTGTTACCTTCTATAGGTTCGTTCCANTTGGTTACTCAATTGATAGCATAATTGGCCGAACAGGTCCCAAACTTCTTGTTGTGTCTGAAATTTGTCACCGAAACCAATCAGCATTAAATTCAATCTCTCTGTGTTTCACTTGAACGTACAATTTCTCATTTGAGTTACGAAGAGCACATCAGATAAGAGCAAACTTATCAGATAACATCAAATGATAACCTAATCCTAATCCGCTGTGCAAAATTCAGCAAATATCGAAGTAAGAAAATATGTAAGTATGAAAATTCGCATCAGAGTCGGTACGGCATGTCACGCTGATTTGAACAATAAAAATTCGTATCGCAGTCCGTACGGCATGTTACGCTGATTTGATGATCCACCCTGTTAGCACACCCCTTTTATTGATCTGTCACGAAATTTCATGGGGGTACTCATCGTAGATTGGAAAATACGAATTTTTTATTTTTCGAATAATAAAAATTCGTATCGCAGTCCGTACGGTATGTCACGCTGATTTGATGATCCACCCTGTTAGCACACACCTCTTATTGGTCTGTCACGAAATTTTATGGGAGTACTCATCGTAGATTGGAAAATACGAATTTTTTATTTTTCGAATAATAAAAATTCGTATCGCAGTCCGTACGGTATGTCACGCTAATTTGAGGAGTCACCCTGTTAGTACCCATCAGCAAATGGTTTTCTACCAAATTCCATGGGGTTACTCATCGTAAATAGGAAAATATGGTTTTTTTATTTTCCTAAGTATAAAATATTGTAATCAGGGCGATACGGCACGTCACGCTGATTTAATGATTCACTCTATTAGTGCACTAAAAGGTATTCCACAAAATTTCACGAAGTTCTTGCCGTTATTTGTGAAATGCGAAGTTTTGTCAGAGAATAGGAAGTAGGTATTCATCTTCAAAAAAAAAATAATAATGCGTGTCAAAATCGGTACTGGCAATACGCTTCCTATGCTTATTCAATACGGTTATGAATAATTATCAGTGACAAATTTCATTTCAAGTTCTCTTTGTATATACGTTTAGAAAATGTTTCTTGATTTGTTCGGCTCATTTGTATGATATCGCCCATTCAAATACCAGCCTTACATTTATGAGAAATTTGGCAACACTGCTTACAATATCTCCTCTATCCCAACATCGACAGTCAGCACTCAGGAACTGTGGATGGAAAAGCGTGGCTAACTTCACACTAATAAAAATACATACAAATGAAGAAAGGGCAAAAAATTACTGCATTTAATAAATTAGCTTTTTGAACAGAAAATCTTCGAGAAAAAAGTTTTCGAAACGTCACCAAATAAGTATACAAATAGAATAGGTTTCCGCGGCTAAAACATCTGAATTGCGGGTTGAACCGCGCTCAAAATTTTGCATTGTTCGACGTATCGACTTCAATTTTAAAGGCATTTTCAAGAAGTAGAAAAGTGTGATTGTACTGAGAGACATAATTTAGGGTTTTGTTGTTCTGGTCTTGCCAAACCTTCGAGAGGGTATGACCCTCATTGACCCATGTTTCATCCAAATAAAAAATAGATTTACCCAGTGTTACTTTTGATGTTCTGGTCTTGCCAAACCTTCGAGACTATATGACCCTCTGTGATCCATTTTTCATCCAAATGAAAAATAGATTTACCCAGTGTTTTGGCTTTCTTTGTTTCTCGTAAATAGTTTTTTCTCCATTCCGAAATCTCTGATTTTTTTATTAACATGCTCTGTCTATCTTGTTTTCCAAAAGTGTAGTTCAGCTCTTATAATAGATATCTTCCATAATCTAGTTCTTCTCATTTCAGGAAAAAAACTGTCTTCATGAATAACTGACAAAACTTTATTTAATGTAAATATTTCGATCTTTATATAAAAAGAGTGTACTATTCTCCTAATAGAATTCTTGACTCCTTCGTCGATAACCAAACACTTTCTCTGCCAGTGGATAGTTTCGGCTCCAAAAAGCTGTTGTTTTTCTTGAGTTCCTTGAGAATTCTAAAAATTGACGATCTATTGAAACCGCTCATACTCACGCATTTATGCACTACTTCCTTCTTATTTTTTATTTCGGGAGGATATTGTAGGTATTCTCTAAGAATTGTAAACATTCATAACAATTGTTTTTTCATTTATATTTAATGCTGACAGTTTCGGAGGCTTCACGGTTCCCGAACAACTAGCTTTCAACGTATTCAAAAAACAAAAAAGCCAAGTCGGTCCTATTGATGAGTGCAGGGTGTCTGTTGACGGTATAATTCAAAGGAATATCTATTTATACCGCCTTCAAAAAAACAATGTTTTTGCAATGCCCTTCAACTAAATACTTATTTTTTAGAGAATGCCTTGGTTAATACTGGACATAATTTCACATTTATTGTAGTTGATTTATTATTTTGTTTGTTATGAATGAGATTTTTCAAG